CGAATGATTATAAAAAGTTAAAGGAAGTTTTGAGAGAGATTTGGGAGAGATTTTTAATAGAGAGAGATAGCGTGAAAGAGATTGGGAGAGACTTCTTTTGTGACCTTTTTGAGTGTTTGGCTTCGCAACGCAAGGTTTGTAAACCTCGTTAAGTCTTGTTATGATTGTTATACGCCCCCGAGGGTTAAGGAATAATGTTTTATCGAGTAGTTTCATCACTTGCCCTAATTAGGGTTTAGAATTTCCGAACACGTGAAAAATCTAAGTGATACTTTGTATTAAGATTGCGAGTTGTACAATAAGAAACATAATAGAAACCCTAATGTACAAGGGTTAGATGAGTTGACCGGTTTGACTTGTTGACTTTAGTTGACTTTGACTTGGCCAAAAATTGACGGTCGTCACATATTCTCTTAGAGTACAAGTTATTACACTAGGTGAATGATTACATGGGAGTAGAATTTCCTAGCAAAAATGCTAGTTGTGACAGTTATAATTGTTGACCCTAACTATTACATCATCATACTAATGCTTAGCCAAACACGGGCGTTACAAAAAATACATTTCTTCGATGGTAAAAACTATATATGAGTTCGATTCTAAATATTTGACCTCTCCATTAACTTCTCATTGGATATTATCTAAATGATAAAAGTCTATAAAACATGAAAAAGAAGGGTATTACGTAGGTGCCAAAGATTCCAAGGATAATGCTAAGCAAGTACATATGTGATATATCGATATGTGTAATATTATTATGAATTTACTAGTTAAGAACTTTAGTGAACAAGTACTCATTCCAATACATGTATACTAATCTCAAAGTAAGATATACTCTCAAAATAGGAGAAATCTTCTAGACATTGTGAAGATCCTGTTGGGAAGTGGACATCTTGACGTCCCAAAAACCCTAGATGGAGATTCATTGGTTGCTCTAATTTTCAGGGTAGTCATTGTGACATTTTTGAATTTTAACCTACTTTAGGTTGAATTAGGTTTAACAATATGTAATGCAGGATGAGAAGAAAGACTACAAGTACTTTGCTTGGATCAATTCTCCATTGCCAAACTAGAGGTATAAAGACATGTTGATGGAGTTTCACAACAATGGTAATTCAAGCTTCAATGATGAATTTGAAGATTATGTGGAGCAACCTCTGGTAGAAGAAGTTCAAGGTGTCCATATGTAAGGAGAATGTGGATTTGTAGTTGTAAATTGGAAGTTTGGTTTTTGGGTTTGTTTCTTAGTAGTTGTTTGGTTAACATTCGAGTAAACTGTAATGGCAATGACCAAGTTGTATTTTGTATCTTTTGGTAATGTAATCTGACCTAGATGGTATTTTGTATCTTTTGGGAATCTATTCACTTGAAATATTAAGGTTAATAACTTAACATGAAATGTATTCACAAGTATGTTCTTAAACAATTATTGATTTTTAAGTATACTTTACTAAGAAGGTTTAAGTACTACAAACTTGCATCAGTGTAATAGTAGTTCATTAATTGATAAAACACTAGGAAATCAGAACAAGATAACTAATAACTTTAGAATTCGGTAACCAACTAAAATCCATTGCATAAGAAATCAACCATAGGATAAAGGTGATTTGAAGCTAAATGAAAGTACTCTTTAATCTTGGTTTAAAATCCTTTCTGTTTGTTGCTTTAGTCTACGTAATTTAGATAGTTTTAAATGTTAATTGATGATTTAAGTTTTTCTGAACTTGCAAAATCAGATAAACCCCCACTAATTTACAATATTTTTATTAGTTTAATTAGTAACAATAGTTATTATTAAAATCATACATGTTCCACTTGAATTCAACACCTTTTCTTACCTACACTATATTATTACACGACTAGGTACATTTCCTATTATGTTTTAGCTGGTTTAGATTTGACAAGATTTATAAATAATAAAACTAGTGCATATAAATAACACGTCGTTTTTTCAAGACGGTCAACTTCTAGAGCTTTGTTTAATATTGTTGCATCATTTGCACCACCTTGCCAATCATGCTTTAAGTTTATATATGGGGCATTAAACTCCATGTAAACTTTGTTGGTGTTTCTACACTTCGAGTAAATTTCATTTTTTTTCCAATAGTCGCCAAGCTTCATTATGGAGAGAAAACGCATAGTAACTTTTCAATAACATGTAGGTCTATTTTGTTCATTTATGACATATGGGTCTTCCGAAACGTTAACCCATGTATGTGTCAACACCCTCTCTTCCTTCGGGGTCCAAGCTATATTCAATGACTTTTTTTTCTTTGTTTCCGGTTAGGGTTGAACATCCTCAGGCCCGAAATCGATTTCAGATATGATATGGGGTTGGTGTTGGGATCGGAATTGGGGTTGAGATTAGAAATGAGGGTGAGATTAAAATTGGAATTGAGTTTTTTGTACAATCGCAAATGGGTTGAACTCGGTTTGGGATGGGAGTTGGAGTTGGTATTGCGGTGAGGATTGGAATTGGGGTTGATATTTTGGTGAGGATTGGAATTGGGGTTGGCTAGGATATGAATTATAATATGGACTGGGATAATGGAATTGAGGCGGTGAAAAAATAGGCCATTTTATTTGAGGGAATTGGTAGAAGATGGGTGATGAAGGGTTTGAATTGTTTTAGTTGGATTTTTTTTGCTTGTTTCTTCTTGGAGTTTTTTGGTTTGACGGAGAGTTGGAGGAAGCCATTTCCAAGAATAGATGTTGAATGTTTGAAAGAAATAACAAGATTGTTGAAGGTTTTGGTGTGGTATAAAAGATGATAAGTGTTGGTATTTATAATATTTGAAAAAGGTAAAAATTTGAAATTTTGGTTAAAAAAAGATTAGTTTTTTGAAAATGGGCAAAATATTTATTTAAAAAAATCTCTCTCATGTGTTAGCTGTTACCAAATTTATGCACCGAGTGTGACATATCGAATCGAGGATGCAGTGTTTCCCGAACCGACTCTGCTGAGACAATACCAAGCCTCACTAGTACAAAAATCCTTAATTGATGTGGGTATTGGACCGTACCAACAAATATCACATCAAAAAATATCCCTATTTAATAATACGGTTAGATAACCGCCCTAAAAAATGACGAAAACCGCCTCAAAAAAATACCGACATTTAATGATGAAAACCGCACCAAAAGATTATAATCTCACCAACTTATGAAGTCACAATTCCAATAGTTTCTTCATTGTTTTTTATAGTACGAATGTTAGACATTATGGTATGGCCTCTATATTAATATATTAGGATATGGTATCAATATTAGTTTATGATTGTAATGAGTTTTATATTTAAATATTATCTGCCCCAACCTATCTACTACCCTATTGATCCTTAAAACATAACCTCCTCGTTTTTATGTTTCTTCTTGGTTCGATGGTGGCGTAAGTATCATGTGGTGATGGTTGTCAAAAGTGTCAGCTAGGGTGTAGTTTGTTTGAAGCCGAAATATGTAATAGGGTGGAGGTTCCAATGGTTAGAGGTTGTTTACGGTAGTGGGTTTGAGTTTAGAAGGTGTGAGGCTGAAACAAATGGTGTGTGAGGTTGTGATGGGTGGATTGAAGGTTAACCGGTTCAGTCAATTTTGAGGCAGAGGTTGGTGGTTCGTGGAGGCTGCGATAGGTGCTATCGGTGGTTAGATATCTTCGGCTGTAACAGGTGGCGATGAAGGGTGATAGCAGGTGGTTTGTGGTGGTGAAGGTCTCTGGTTCTGTCGGTGATGGTTGAGAGTGGTCTCGGTGGTGCAGGTTGACTGGTGGTTCAGGTTGAAGATGATGTAGGGAAGGTATACAAAAAAAATCATATCTACATCATCAAAAAGTTCTTGAAAAACCTTTCTCTCCTGCCACTTCTTCTGTACCTATTTCAGATCCACATCATCAACCCTGTCCTGTGTTTCAGCTGACTGGTGCCTCGCTGACAACCTTCGATGTAGCTCCGACAACACCCACCACTGATCAGCGTATTGTTGATCAACAAACCTTCGAAAAAACTACAGCTATGCCGAGCCATTTGGAAACCGAGGATGGTGTTTTTTCTACTCAATTTTCTAATGCTTGGCCTCGTGTTATTCCTGTAACATCCATAAAAAATTCATGAAAATTTTAAACTTTTAAAACAAACCATAAATCATCCTTGTTTACAAAAATAATTTTCAAACATGATCATTATCAAAGTTTTTCCTAAAGTCATAAAACAAAACTCGAGGAGGTGAACGATCACGCATTCGCCTTCCCCGCGATCCTCTGAGGTACCTGAAACATAATCCAAAACTGTAAACCCAAAACTTATTGAGTTCCCCCAAAATACCAATACACAAACAAATAACACATATACAATAACAGCATGTAATGCCTCACTCTGCATAGCGTAAGCACTCGCTATGCTAAAACTCTATAAGGTCTATTTTTTTTTCAAGTGGTCCAAGAATTTCTTTCCCATGATGAGCTCCAATTTAACCTGACTCGGTAATAAAATTTGGACCGCTTCAAAAGATGCGTTCTTACAAGTGTGTCCATGGTTGACACAAATTTCTTTATCTCATCTTTTATAAAAAGATGTAAGTACATGTTATTTGTTTATTTTATTAGTTAATATAGAAAATACAAGTTAAAATATAAATAAATAAGCGGACCCATTTATAAACTAAAAGGTTTATGCATAATGATGATATGTTTGTAAAACATAGAAATTAATAAGTTAATAATATCCTCTCTAATAAATGAACGTTTTTTTTGCCACATGTCATCTTTTCCTTCATTTTGACACTTGTAATTTTGTGGGAGTTTTAAAAATTTTATTTTCCACTTGTCATTTTTTAGGAATTTTCATTTTCTTAAAATAAAATTCCATAAAATATTACATTTTGTTATGTAAAGTATTACTTTATAAAACATTTCATGTTTATATATTGTCATTAAATTTTTATTTTTAATAAATCCGTGTAATACACGGGTCTCACACAACTGACATGATAAATGGCGACCGTGTTTTGGACTAGAGGTCTAACATTGAAGATACTCTAGTTATCTTAGTCATTTTGCTTAATATGATCTAAACCCATGTTAGGTGGTGATATAAGGTTCCAAAATACGGTCATGGATCTTAATGGCTTAGGCTCAAACCTACAAACATCAACTTCAACTTTAAGATGACATATTATTAAAATTAATAAAAATAAAAATTATTTTTTAGATTTATGGATAGTATCCAAAATATTGGAATCTTCTTTGATTTTGATATTTTTGAATTGTCTTTTATCTTTCGGATTCGGATTCAGACAACAGCAGTCGAATTGCCACCCTATGCATGCGTCGGTCGACTCTTAATCGTTATCGATCTCACTTGCATTACGCTCAACAGAAAATGACCAAGAAAGATAAAAGAAGCCATTACTTCCCTTATCCCTAATGTATGCATCTTTTGCTTTTGTGGAGCCCTACTATTCTACTAATCAACAATCGAGTTGCACACTAGTTGCAAAGTAAAACTGTACTAAAACCCTAAAGATCGATCATAGAGAAAAGAAAAAGAAAGCTTCAAGAGTTAGCAGACTGCACTAGAATCAACAACATGAATCCAAAACCTTGGCAAACAATCAACGTACCACAAAAGATCATCAAGAATGAATAAAGAATCCAATAACTTCCTTATCAGTGATGGATATACGTATACATATACTATATATATTCCTTGCTTCTGTAGAACCCTACTAAAAATCGAGTTATATATTGGTCGCAAAGTAAAACCGGTAAAAAACCCTATTAACTACCACCAATGAAAAACGAGGAAAGATCGTATAGAAATTGAAAGAAAAGAAGAGCTTCAAGTTTTAGCTGACTGCAGAAGCAACAGAATGAGCCCAAAACCTTAGCAGACCCTTCAACTCCAAATCGTTTCTGCAGTTCATTATCGTCAATGCCACATTTTCATCTTCTTTTAAGCTCTTTTTATGACTTCCTGCTTCGTAAACGAGAACTGGGGGCGGGTTGCTGGTGAGGATCTTATGCTGAAACCAGTGTGAATCCAAGAGTTGGGAGATATCTTTTGCTTCTGTCGTCGTCATTTTGAATTTTTGATTGTGGAAGGGATGATATCCAATTGTCCATGGTGTTTTATTTATAAGGAACTAAGCGTTTGTGTTACATCTTGGAAGTTTCGTGTAAGATGGGAGGAATGGGGGACGCGTTTTTGTTTTGACTTCTGAATTTTCTATACTTTCTAATTGCGGTCTTAACCACCATCTTATCTGTCAATTATCCATAAAGAATTTGAATTAGTAAAAGCATTTTATTATAATTTTATTTGAAGAATTTTATTTTATAACATAACAGTTGAAAAGATATCAACGTTCATAGTTATTTTTTTAGAAAATCCATTTATTTACTTTTGTAATATAGAAAAACAAAACGTGCTTCTTGCCATTTTACTTTTACCGAATAAGTTGCTCAATTTCTTTTTTTCTTTTTGTAGTAATTAAAGTGTTTACATTCATAGGATAATCATAAATTCATAATAATAACAAAATTGAGATGTGTAATACTAATACTAATAACTAAGATCATTTCCAATGCATCAAACATTTAAACTCATATAAGTTTAATGGATTGACACGTATACATTCCAATTAATACATAATTTTATTTATTGAACTTTACACTCCATTAAACTTTATATAATTTAATGTTGTCACATCATTTATCATTTTCTTTTTACTTATCGTTATTTTGTAAATAATTAATTCGCATGAAATTAAAAATTAAAAACTACAATTAAAAATAAAATTAATTAAAAAATAAAAATTACAAAATTGAAATAAAAAATTA